CTTAGTCAAGGGCAAGATAAAACAATTTCTTCACATAGATTGCAATTAAATACACGAAAAAAATGTTATAAAAATAAAGAATATTTCCAATTGCATTGAAACACGAATTTTAACCAAATTCTGAAAATAACCTATTCAAAAATGTATTACATACACATAAAATGTTTATGTAGATAGCTATCGCTGCTAATCCGAAATTATATTTTGAGAAATACATCCATAACAGAAATGAAAAATATTTTTATTAGCAATGTGTTTAAAAAGATTAAACAAATATAAAATTTTATAAAATGCAGATTTTGGTCTTTACTTTTTAAAAGAAAAATAAAAAGATACAATGCCTATAAAAGATGAATAGAAGAATGATTTAAATGATATTTTTATAATAAATATGTTAAACCAGAATTAAACCCTTTATGTGCATTACCATCATTCCATATCCCTACAGAGAACATCATTTTTATAAAAAATTCCAGAAGCGATGTATAATTTAATATTATAACTATTAGACGATTAATTGTGCAAACAAATAATTAAGTAGGTTTAAATTAGTTTTTATTGATTTAAGATATGTTTTTTAAAAAACTTTAAATATTGCGAATTCAATTTAACGAATTGTGTAAATGTATATATTTGATATTTTGTGATACAGTTGTTTCCTTTCCCCATCGTTTTTAAAAGTGATGAAAATGTTATATCCTGGGATTTAGTTTGTATTTGGTATTAATTACAGCTTAATATGGTATTTTAAGCATTATGAAGGGATTTTAGAAATGTAATTGAATAATTTTGATCTATTAAAAATTTCCCTTTTTTTCACATATTAAAAGCTATAGATTCATATGTTTGATTATATTCAAATATATTATTTTTTTGTGAGATATTCCCTTAATACATAAAATTATTTGCGCATTATATATGAAAAAAGGGTTTATCTGGTTAAATTTGTTGGACTTACAGGTTTAATTTGTCCAAAATAATCAATGGAAAACTTTCAACTATTTTGGTACAATCAAAAATGTTATGTTTCTTAGTCTTTGTGTTTTATAATTTTAATATTCCTTTTATTCCAAAAAAAATTTTTTTTGGTATCCATATATAAAGCACGTTAATTTAATGCACTGCAAATATTCTGACCTTTTTATTTAAATCATCATTATTTATTTATAAATGACTTTTGATATTCGAATCAGTGTAATTGGTGTTTCGTTTTGTAGCCTAGTTTGCCTAGGTAAGAACAATTTGCAGCCTATCAGATGCTAGGAAATTTAGTAAATCGATTGATCAAAGAACTCAAATATCAAAAACCTTCGATTTAGTTTTTTTATTCTTTATACACTCAATTTCATCTATTCGAGATTGAATAATTATTGATAATTCTAGCATTTTTTATTCTTTGAACGATCCAACAATGATTTAGTAATAAAAAATTTTTGATGAATAAATTTAAGATGAAATATATATATTAGATCATATCTTTTTCTAAATTTTATTTTCATAGAACCGAGAATATATACAAATTTTCGTGCATATATAGAAAAAGAGAAACAAAAAAAATTTAAAACGCAACAGTTTTAGAGAAAAGGATTAAGTTAAACTATTATATGCAAACATTTTATGGTATTTTCAAATTGAATTGTTCTTTTAAGTAATCGTTTAAATTTTAGATTGAATTGGTTTAACTGTAATTTAAATAGATATGACACAATTTAAAAGAATTACCAAAAATAAGTTACAGCATTAAATTTTATGCTAAAATATAAAAGTTTTATGATTCAATAAAGAATAAATTTGAAAAACAATAGTTTTTTTCTAAAAACAGATATTTAAATAAACTACACACATCGTGAACATAATAATAGTAAAAAGACGAATTCTATTATTTAAAAAATAAACAAACATTCGAATATCCAATGGATACTGCATATACACATGTTAATAATTCGCAATTTTTAATTTATAATTGTGGTAGAAACTTGGGATGCGACTTATCCTAAATATTCTTCTAGGATAGAGCAGGATGGGGTAGTTCCTCACTTTCACTCGCTCGCCGTCGACTTTTGCGTTTCCGAAAACCTTACTGGAATTTTTATTCTTTAAATAATTCGCATTTTTATTGCAATGATTCATTAAAAATATTTCTTTTTGTAAAAAGTGGGTTTATTTAAATATTAAAATTTATAATAAAATATTTTTTACAAATACTTTACTACAAAATTTACTAAAAGGGTTGCACTAATCATTCAATTGTTTGTCTTCATTAGTGAGACAGAACAATAATATATTGCAAGTATTTAAAATCTCTTTAGAATGACATCTAGATCAAACAAAATCACCTATCTAAAATTTCATGAAAAAAAATTTTATGTGTTCTTAAAAGCACAAAAATCAACTTTCTGTTTCCGAATAAATTGAAATAATAATTATATTAGATTATTTTTTATCAATAGAAATTGTAAATTTCACAGTGTATCTATATTTAACGTAAATTCGAATAAAAATATAGCATTTAATCTAAAACTTTAAATAATATCACATTAAACCACTGATATTAATATTCTGGTATATGAAAAATCCATTGATTTACATTTTCGAAGTTTCATGAGCCTTGGCATGTTCGTATTATACATAAAATATGCAGTTTATGCCTTTCACACAATTAAATCACTTCAACAATTTTTCATATAAAAAAACTATTAGAGTTATGATATAGCAACATAATCCAATTCGCTAGAAATTTTAAATTAGAAGTTGTTTTTCATAAAATCAATGATTATTTCGTGAAACACAATTAATAGTGATTATTATCTTTTGATTTAAAACATCAACAATTTATTAATTGTAATGCAAAGTTTATAAAATAATTATTTTGATGATCTGATTAGCTTAGAAGTTTTCGTTACATAAATAAAAACGGGATTGAAATAGAAATATTTATTTAGTCTAAAGTTGTTTTAAATATAAATAATCACACCTGATAATTCAACATCAATATTAATAATATAATTTATAACTTAAAAAAATATATTCTAAAAATTTATATGATAATTTATTATCATTTTGATAATGACACTAATATAGACGAAAATATCATCAAATTTATTGTTGGCTATAAACATAAAAATATTTGATTTAGATTTTGAATAAAATTTTAGTACAATATTTAATTAACTAAAAAACTAGTGCACATTAATCCATATTAAATATATCATTTTTGCTGATTAAAGTTTATATTCATGTTGGAGATCATTTTTATTAGTAATAATTTTATTATATAAAAAAATACCGTAGTTTAAAATTTGAAATACCAAAGATCTTATTACTTTTATGAATTCATGCGAAAATGTATTGAATCTCAATTAAAAGAATAAGAAAATCATATATCAACTTTTTCTCTCAATAAAAGCTTTTTTAATGCTTTATGAAGTGTATTTTAAAGAATTTTGAATAACTGCATCAAATAAACAAAAAATACGCATTCAAATATTGATTTAAAATTGTGTTAAAATATTCACAATTTATAATTATAAAATATATTTATGTATTAAAACAATTAGAGATATAGATTAAAATAAAATTAGATCAAAATTTTATATTAAAAAAATAATTAAAAATTAAATATAACAAAATGAATGCCATAAAAACATTCTATTAAAGTAAATTTTTAAATAATGTTTATGAAATCACAATAATAGAACCTATTTGTGATTGGATAGATGGATTAGTTTCTATTTAAATTATACTATCGTGAAAAAGCGAATATTTAATAAATATTTGTTTTCAAGAAAGATTTTTGTGATTTTTTATGTGTTTATTAAATTATTTATTTTTTTAAAAATTTATTTCAAAATATTTAGTGGTGTTTCAAGATTTTACGCAGCATAAAAATTTTGTGATAATCTTATTAGAATTAATTATAAATCTAGGATTAATTCATTAATTTACTAAATAAAAAATTTATAGTTAAAAAAGTTCTTTAACGACCAAAAATGAACTTTTTTATGTTGTATAAATATTTTTTTGCTTACATTAATATTAAATATTTCGTTCATATCTAATATAATTTAGCAACCAATATTATATAAAATCAACTAAGAAAAAAAAGAAACAAAAATCGTTTTTTTTTTGTTGAAATATATATACTTTCTTCCATTCTAATAACATATTTATGATTTTTACGTAAATAATGCTCCTTCAATTTTGAATTACGCCTTAAACAAATCATTATGAAATATTTCACAAATTATTATCTATGTTTATGAATTATAATGTTTAAATTTTTGCAAAAAACAAGATATAAGATAATTTTTTTATAATGTAGTCAATCTAAAATCGAACATCGTTTATAAAAATATTCGTAATAATAAAATTATGTATATAACAAAAAATAAAAATTAAAAATGGAAGAATACTTGTAACTTATAAACAACTATTTCAGGCATTACGCGAATATAAAGAATTTAAGAAATGACATTATAAAATTTGTATTTTTTTTCTACAGGCAAGGTAAAACTTTAAAAAAATGTTGACTTTATTTTTTTTTAATATATGGATTATCTATTACATCAATGTAAATCAAAATTTTAATTAGAATTGAGATAAGAATATCAAAATTAAATAAAATGTGGCAATTAATTTCTTTGATTTCTTACGAATAGATAAAGAAGTTATTTTTTTTGCAAAACAATATTATTATTTTAAATGTCGTATTATAAAAATTTTTAAAGACTTTCGTATTTTAAAATTGAAGATTATAGATAAATTTATATTATGTTCCTAAATCTATTTACAGAAAATTTATGTGAAGTATCTTATATTCTTTGATGAAATGCTCGATTTTTGACATTTTTTCATTTTATTGAAAAAAATAATTTACCAGAAGAAAATAAACATTTAACATTAAATATTACCTTAGATGTGTATATAAGTAATCTTTTTCATGTTTCTTGAAAATATGGCATAATTGTTCACAAGTAATAATTGAAAAAATTAAAAAAGTAAGGATTTACCGGGGTTCGAACCCGGGTTGCAGGAGTCAAAGTCCTGAGTGCTACCGCTACACCATAAATCCTTAAGAGAATAAGAAATATATGTTAACAATATAAAAAATACACAAAATACGATATCAGTAAATAAAAAAAATAAACATAAAAAAAAACTTTAACAATTTGAAAATTTCAAAGTTTGTAAATTTTAATGTTTCTCCTTTATCATTAGATTTTTTTTTTAATTTTTAGCTAATATTCCTTAAATTTTATGTTTCTTAAATTTCATGGTTTGAAAGCAAATACAATAATTCAAATTTTTAATAAGCATTTCGACTAAATCTTTCTAAAAAAAATTCTGTAAATGAAAAATAAAAATTGAAAACCAACAATTGAAATTATAGTCTTTGAAAAAGTCTGTAAAATAATGCTTTAAAAATTAAAAGAAGTATTTTCGGTATAAAAATTTTGCATATGCGAGTTAGTAATATAATAATGGTGAGAAATTAGAATAATTTTAAAATATAAAATAAAACGATCATAAAAACCAAACTTTATATTTTAAAACATTATTAAAAATAATGATTTGATGTTAATGATGCATTATAACATCACAAATAAATTTTTTTTTAATTTTCAATTTCATAAGAAAATTATTTTTAATAACAAAAATCATACCATAAGTTCTATTTTTTTATATTTCTTAGATATTAAATTATCAATAATAGCTGATATAATTTGTAAATGAAATTATTTTTAAAAAGAGAATATAATTTTAGACTTTTACACAAAAATAAAAAAAGTCAAAAGAATAAAACTAAATCTCTATTTGATATCGTAACTTGAAATATTTCTTCTTTGTTAATAGTTATCACTAAAAAATTCATGCCATTAATAGTTTATAAAAATAATTTTATCATCATAATATGACATAAATGAAGATTCAATATTTAATTTTTGTTAATAATATGTTTGTGCAGCATTTTTAAAGATTCATTGAACGAAACGAATTAATTTTTTTGCCTGATATATTAAAAAATTATAAATCGCATTCAAAGACTTTAGCATATAAATTTACCCATTCAAAGTGCAATCTAAACACAAATTTTTATATCACATGCAAATCAATAAAAAATAAATTGGTATGGATTTAAAAAAACATTATGGTGTGTATTTTACTTTTATTTGATCTTATAAAAATGACCTTTGTTTTGAAAGGTGCAAATAAAATGTATTCCATACATATCATCGCACAATAAATGTTGATTTTCAAAACAAATGTATAGAGTTTTTTTAGACGATAAATTCACTATACTTTTAATAGATCAATAATATTTTCAGAAATACGAAATAGGAATAAAGTTTGTTTTTAGTGTTACATTCCGAGACACCTTTGTAATATCTATCTTTTAGAAGAGTCTGTTAGTACGATTGACAAAAAAAACAAGTACTTTTAAAATAAACTTTTCTTTCCTGTAAAAACAACAGCTTCAAATCAGCACAATGGATTTTTTGTTCCCAAAAACCCTAGATAATAGCATATAATTTAATCAAAGTAGTTACCGTATCTAGGATAGCTTTTTTCCATATATTGCACATTTTTTAAGCTAATTAAAAACTACAAGAAATACCATAAAATTTGGGTCCACCCCTATCAAACGTGTTCATTTTTTGATTACTAAATATTACAAAAAGATATACCGAGTCGGCACGTATCGGGATCGCTCTTTCGGTCGGGTGCTCTATTTATATCATGCAACAAATAACACCATTTGGTTCGTGTACCTCTGTCTGTGAAGTTTTACGTGACAATTCACTTAGTTAATATTTGACCGTTCTAGTTGCTGAAGGAAATTTGTTTTTGTTGTTCGAAGCTATTTATCCACCACCGCTACGTAAAGGCTTTCCACCGTAATGATAACGGTCGACTTACAGTGTGCGATACAATCCTCCCTGTCAGAGAAAATCAATACAAGAGCTGGTAAGCACATTAAACACTTCTAACCAGCGAAATTCGCAAATTAAATATATTTTTTTATACTGTCGAAAATATAATGATGGAGCAAAAAAACGGGGAAAAGACTTGTAAAAATAGAAAACACTAAAAATATATTCTTTTCTGTTTTTCAGTATGTTTTTTTTGTTTTTATTCATGTTTTATTTTTATATTTCTTAGATATTTATATAGAAAATGATTGGGCGATTTATATAATGGTTCAAGACTATTTAAATTTAACACTTACAATAATATATATTTCTGTTATTATATTTTCAAAACCTATTTGACCATTAGTGACTGTCTTGGTTCTATTTTATCGATTACTTCCATGACTATTTTAATGAATATTAAAAACTGTAATTCATGGCGTTTTTGCCAAAATGCGTTAAAATGAACCTTTAATATAAGTTTAGTTTCGTTTTTTTCTTTTTTTCTGTGGATTTCATAGTCATGAATGAAATATTTTGAATATGTTTTTTTGTTCTAAAAACTAGATAATTTCTCATATAAGTTAAGTGTAAATACAAAAAGTAACAACCCTTCATATTTTATTTTCTTTTTGATTTATCAATAAGTATTATTTTAGATAGAAATTCATTAAAATGAGAAATATTTTTTTGTCTGTTTACCCAAAAAAATAGAACATATTTTCTTAAAAAAAATATGGCAAACTTACATAATAAATTATAAGAAAACAATATATTCAACAAGTTATTGTGATTTTAATTTTATGAAAAAAATTTTTAGATAAATGCATTATATATAAATAAATTTCAAACATAATTTGCTGATCGGTATTATTATATTATTGAAAAAAAAACAATGTTAAAAAAAATGTGTTTTAAGGTTTGTTTTTTTATTTTTTTCATGTTTAATTTTTTTAAAGACGTTTTAAAAAAATTCAATACACATTTTGCACATGTATGCATTTAATCAATATTGTTTATGATATGATTTTATATATCTTTGTTTATATCAAAATGTGTTTTTTTTTATATTTTATATTATATTATTTTATTTTTGTATGCAATAAAGAAGAAGTGTTTATGATATGATTTTATATATCTTTGTTTATATCAAAATGTGTTTTTTTTTATATTTTATATTATATTATTTTATTTTTGTATGCAATAAAGAAGAAGTGTTGAGGAATTAAATTAAGAGATAAAAAAAATTTTAGATGAATGCCGTAAGCTTTATGGCATTGAATTTAGTTTTTTTGTAATAACACTTGCTAAATTTTATTGTTTTTATGGTTAATGTACACATTTTACATGTATATATTGCAAGAAAATTTATTACTATTAAAATTTATTGTACTTGTACTATCTCTAAATATTTTATTTATTGTTTCATTATAAAAAAAATTTGAAAAGCGATAAAAATTTGGTATAAAAAATGATTTTGAAATACAATCGGTTTTTTTGATCTTGCTATTTGCAGCTTATCATAATTCACAAGAAAATATATTTAAAAATATTTTCCTATAAAACTTTTACGAAAAATTATCATAACCATTTTTTGGCTATGATTTTCTGTTTTTAATCTTATATTTGTATTTTTAAATACAATAAAACGTTATAGAAATAAAATAAAACTATTTTTGGTTGCTTTTAATTTTTTAGTTTAGATTAATAAACTGCATATTTAAATTGTATTTATCCTTTGTTTTATCACGATTATATTTTTTCTTTTATTTACAAAATTTATATCGCATCTTTTGTTTTCTAGTATTGAAAAATTGTAATAAGAGCGAATTATCTTACATACCAAACAGTTTAAAGATTTCCTAAATTACATTAAAATTAATAATATTCTATTTTTGTGAATTTAGATTGGATTTGTTGATTTTTTTCGTGTCGAAGTCACATATTTTTTTTCGTTTTTAATTTTTAATATTTAATAATTTTATTTTAGTCTAACTCAAATGATAATATAAATATGCATTTTTAGAATGATTGATAAGTAATCTAAAAAATCAAATATGTGAAGATTTTTACTTGAATAATATTACAATTTTGTAAACTTTGTGACGTGCGTCGATGAAGAGGTATCCGATTAAACACTGTCGACATTTGTATCATATTTGTTGTTTAATGTAATATATAACAATTTTTCTTCGACTATTTGTGTGGGTTCACCAGGTTTATTTATAAATATTTATAAGTAATGGAAGATACATACAATAATTAATTGATATTCTTATCATACTCGTATTAGTATTTATTTGTCTATACTTTGAATGCATAGGTTGAAGGATTTAAGCGTGTGGCTTATTCATAGGCCTACACATTATAAAAACCACTTTTTCACAGTAATTTTTTAATTTAAATTCTACATTTTTTGAACTTTTCACAATAATTTTTTATAAAAAATGGCTATATAAATTATGTAAATAATTCAATGAATATTTCTGTTGGAATGAGTTTGCGGAGATACAGAAAAAAACGAATAAAATCTTTTATAGACTCAATATTTATTTATTCAAAGTTTTTTTATAGTTTTTTTCCCCAATCAAATTCCTATTATTTTTCTTATAAATCGAAAAAATATGATTAATAAACCTGAATGTAAATTATATTTTGAATGATATTTATAAACAAATAATTTTTCGTTAAATAACTAATTGTTTCATCTTTTAACACTTATTCGTAGTGATTGTAGCACAACAATTTCTGTGTATGAAATATGAGATTCTTTAAAAAAAAGATTTATACCAATTGTAATTTTTTATATCATCTTTTATATATGAATTATATAAATAGCTTAAATTTTTCTGTTTTTTAGAGTTTTTTTTGGATAGCTTTTTTCTTTGAACAAAAAAAATTTTTTTATATTGTCTGCAAAAAAAAGCGAAAATAAAATCATTTCTACTATTTTTTCTGTTTTCTACTGTTTTAATGTACTATTTCATATATAAAATTGACATGATCAAAATTAGGAATTGCAATCAAGCGCGCAAAAGACAATTATGAAATGTTTGAAATGATTTTATATATAGATGTAAAAAACTTTTCATATAGCAAAACTTTCTAGCAAAAGAATATATCAACGTATACTAAAATTCTGCTTTTTTGGCATTCTAAT